CCCAGGGGCTACCTCAACAAGGCCAGCCATGTAAACAAGGGCTGATGAGGCAGCTCTGTCAACAGGGAAAATCGGTGGATGATGTTCTGAAAAACCGGGCCTCCATAATCGAATTCTAGAGCCCATGGAAGCCTCTGGAATAGTTTTCAGAAGCCACATACCCATCTAGCTTCTAATCCTTCTCTACGCAAATCTCAAGGGAAACAACCAAGAAGCATATAATGGTACATGATGACTAATGGTGTTAGGCTTACTTCCACCACCACCACCACCACCACCACCACCACCACCGCCACCACCACCACCACCACCACCATCATTGAATTACTTGTTCATAAGTGTCAGCTTCTCAGGTTTTCACGCCATATTCATTTGGCTCACAACACTACCATTTCCTAGTTGTCCCTATTCTCCTCTGATAGATTCTGGCTCGTTTTCTCCATGAGCGCCTATTCCTTGGTCCATTATACAGCTGTCAGGGCCCCCCTCATGGAACCACCCTCACCCCCCTGAGTTTCCTTACTTTTCTTGCTTCCTGGGCATACTCACTTCCTCGGTCATGGTTTTATTTTCTCACAAGGGGCAGGTGACTCCCAAATCTCCCTGTCCAGTTCAATCTTTACCCTAAGACTTCCTACCCTCACATCTAAAACCTCCCAGAAATCTCTGGCTAAATGTGCCATAAGAATCCACAAAACTGAAACTTGACAAAGCTAAAGCTAAAACTCAACAAAGCTAAAACTCATCACTTGCCCCCTCCCCGTGTCTTTTGCACATTTTTTTTTTCAATCATGGTGGTGCCACCTTTCACCTAATTACCCCCCCTACAGATCTGAGAGTCATCCTCGACTCCACCCTCTCCCTCGGCTGCATGTCCAATCCCTAACTCCCCTCATCAACTGCCCTTTCTAAATGTGTCTTCGTTCATCCCTCCTGCTACAGTCTGAATGTTTGTGTGTCCCTGAGATTCAGGTTGACATTCTAACCCCCAAAGTGATGATATTAGTAGGTAGGGCCTTTGGGAGGTGATTAGGTCATGAAGGTGGAACCCTCATGAATGGAATTCGTGGCTTTATAAAAGAGAACCCACAGAGCTCCCTCACCCCCGCCACCATGTGAGGATACAACATGGAGTCTACAACCCAGAAGGGGACTGTCACCCATACCGTGCTGGCACGCCGATCTTGGACAGCCTCCAGAACTGTAAGCAGTAACTTTCTGCTGCTTACAAGCCACCCAGCCTATAGTACTTCACTATACAGTCTGAACAGACTAAGACACCTCCTTTCAACCCCATCATGGCTACTTTGGCTAGCCCTTGGGACTCATCCTCCTGCGGCATCAGTCTCTCAAATGGCCTCCATATTTCCAATTCTGACACCTTAAATCCACACTGTAACTGAGGGAATCTGCCTAGAAAGTAAAACTGCCCATATCCAACCACCTAAAAATCCTTCCTTAGTTTATAGTATAAAGTAAGGGACTCTCCATGACCTTGTCCTCATTCATAGCCTAGGGCAGTGAGGTCATCTTATCTATTTATTCCCCTTCAAAGGTTTAAAAGAAAAGATGTATTTTTTTATATGAAATTTATTGTCAGATTGGTTTCCATACAACACCCAGTGCTCATCCCAACAGGTGCCCTCCTCAATGCCCATCACCCACTTTCCCCTCCCACCCACCCCCCCATCGACCCTCAGTTTGTTCTCAGTTTTTAACAATCTCTTATGGTTTGGCTCCCTCCCTTTCTAACTTTTTTGTTCTCCCCCTCCCCCATGGTCTTCTGTTAAGATGAGCCGAAGTCGGAGGCTCAACCGACTGAGCCACCCAGGTGCCCCTGTTAAGATGTATTTAGAAAGAAATCACATTCATAGCTTTTTAGAGCCTTTCTTTTTTTTTTTTTTTTAATTTTTTTTTTAACATTTATTTATTTTTGAGACAGGGAGAGACAGCATGAACAGGGGAGGGTCAGAGAGAGAGGGAGACACAGAATCCGAAATAGGCTCCGGGCTCTGAGCTGTCAGCACGGAGCCCGACGCGGGGCTCGAACTCACGGACCGTGAGATCATGACCTGAGCCAAAGTCGGATAGAGACTTTCTAAAAATATTTATTTTTGAGACGGAGAGAGACAGAGTGCGAGCAGGGCAGGGGCAGAGAGAGAGGGAGACACAGAATCTGAAGGAGGCTCCAAGGCCTGAGCTGTCAGCATCGATGCCGACACGGGGCTCGAACCCACGAACTGTGAGATCATGACCTGAGCTGAAGTCAGATGCTTGACCAACTGAGCCATCTGAGCACCCCAGAGCCTATCTTTACTTGCATCATACCCTTACTCTTGACCAGCACTCTGCCACACAGTCCATCTGTGTTATCTCATGTAATCCTCAACACCTCTAAGGGGTATATCTATTTTTGTGTACATCTTGCAAATAAGAAAACAAAGACCCAGAGTAAATTGGCCCAAGTACGTAGAGCTAGTAAATAGCAGACGCAGGCCTTCATCCTGGCTCTATAAACTCCTATCTGGGTATGTGTCTCCTGGAAGACCGAGAGCCAGGCTGGCCCATGGAACTCAGTGAGCATATCGATAACAGAGGCAGAATGTGAAGAAGAGGAACAAGGTAAGAGAAGGTCATCAAGCTCTGGCCTAAAGATATTATTTAAGGAAAATAACATTTTGTGGGCTCAAAAACCAATTCTATTTGATATTTTGTTCTCAATATAAAATTTGGTCTGAAATTCAATCAGCCACCTAAGTACATATCTACATAACATGGTATTGTTTGAAAAGTGCAGAAAAGGGCACCTGGGTGGCTCAGTTGATTGAGCATCTGACTTCAGCTCATGACATCAGGTCATGATCTCAAGGTTTGTGAGTTCTAGCCCCACACTGGGCTCTGTGCTGATAGCTCGGAGCCTGGAGCCTGCTTCATATTCTATGTCTTCCTCTCTCTGCCCCTCCCCAGCTCACTCTCTGTCTCTATCTCTCAAAAAAATTAATAAATATTAAAAAAAGTGCAGAAATATCCATAGTGAACCATTTACAGAGTTCTGTGTGTAATTCAATTAAGGATTCACTATCTATCCATTTGGATATCAGAAAAAAATACATGCATTATTAGGTATAACATTTTATTTTGGGGCATCTGGGTGGCTCAGTTGGTTGAGCGTCTGACTTCAGTTCAGGTCATGATCTCTCAGTTCATGAGTTTGAGCCCCGCATCAGGCTCTGTGCTGACTGCTAACAGCCTGAAGCCTGCTTCGGATTCTGTGTCCCCCTCTCTCTGCCCTTTCCCCATTCATGTTCTGTCGCTCTCTGTCTCTCATAAACATTAAAAAAAATATTTTTTAAACATTTTATTTTTTAACTGTTTGTTTATTTTTTGAGAGAGGGAGAGAGAGAATGAGCAGGGAGGGGCAGACAGAGAGGAAGAGAGAATCCTAAGCAGGCTTCATGCTGTCAGCGCAGAGCTCAACGCGGGGCTTAAACTCACAAACCATGAGATTGTGACCTGGCCCAAAATCAAAAGTCAGATGCTTAACTGACTGAGTCACCCAGGTGCCCCAGGTATAACATTTTATAGCCAGGTCCGTGTATATTTGAAAATGAAGGAAGGCCTTTAACTTCTGTCAATTTGCTTTGGTTACAAAAACAATTCTGTGTTGTTTTTTTTAAAAAAAATGCATATAACAATGCAGTCTTCCATATTTTAACACAATGCCATGTACGCACAATTATCAGTACAGCCATGATGGCTTTGATCCCACAGTTTCTGAATATGTTCACTTTCTCCAATACATCTTCTCTTTCCTCAAATCTCTCAGTGGCCTCCCTGCACTGACCCCCCAAATCACACATACCCACAGGCACCATCAGATGGTCCCCTGGCCTCGACAGCTGTGTGCCCGCATCCTCCTGAACACTGGCCGTACTCTCTCCAGGCGCCCTGTTTGAGGGAGATGCCCAGGACCTGCAGTAAACCGTTCCTCGGGGACTGCACTTCAGCAAATCACCTCCTCCCTCCTGTTTCTGCAGCTTCTCCCTTGCTGGTGAATCATTTCCAGGACCACACGCGTTTATTTTGTTATCTCCATATGAAAGCAAAACAAGAGAACCTCCCCTGTCCTCATCTCCCCAGTGCAACCAGAACGCAGCCCTCGACCTTCTCCAGTCCTACCTGCTGCTCATGGACGCACCTTGCTGCCTCAGGCATCTGCATTTGCTGTTCCTTCGATCAGGTGTGCCATCCCACTGGATGTCTCTGCCTGGCCCTCCCCTCTCAGTTCCCCCCTCTGCGACTCCGCAGTGACCTCCCTGCCCCAGACTACCCCAAGGAGTCCAACCCAACCCCCAACTCTGGCAGACCCCTCCCCAACATCATTTTCTATTCCCTTACGCAACTTTATTTTCTTCATCGCTATTTAACTGACATCGAATTACATATTTGTATGTGTTTCCTTGTTTGTTATGTGTCCTCCACCCCCGCCCTCTTACTGGTCTGCCTGCACACACTAGAACACAAGTCCTACAAAGGCAGGGACTCTTGTCTCTTATTCATCATTTATCACTGGTGAATGGAAGAGCGTCTGGAATACACATAGTAGGTCCTCAATGAATACACATCAATTCCATAAATATTATACACTGACAAAAAAAATTTTTAGAGAATCTAAACTTCTGGGTTTTAAAAATACATCTTTTGGGGCGCCTGGGTGGCGCAGTCGGTTAAGCGTCCGACTTCAGCCAGGTCACGATCTCGCGGTCCGTGAGTTCGAGCCCCGCGTCAGGCTCTGGGCTGATGGCTCAGAGCCTGGAGCCTGTTTCCGATTCTGTGTCTCCCTCTCTCTCTGCCCCTCCCCCGTTCATGCTCTGTCTCTGTCCCAAAAATAAATTAAAAACGTTGAAAAAAAAAGTTTAAAAAAAAATACATCTTTCTACTTCTTTGGACATTTTAGTAGAATCAGGTTTGGGGAGCTGGAAAAAACATGTATCTTTTACCTTTCTGATGTTACTCGGATTCGTTCCTCACAGCTGTAATTCAGTCTTTCCATCTTCTCGTGGAAGTATATTTCCACACACTGTTCTTCAAAGTCATGAAGTCTCTTCAGATCCTCATCACTCAGGTAGAGTTCTGTGTAAATAAGTATGGCACATTAAAAAAAAAAATCATAATTTGCCTTTAACAGGAAGCTGATACTGAGTAGGCGGGGCTTTTCTTCCACTTGTGTTGAAAACTCTATGAACTGGAGCTCGCGTGATAAAACTTTGCTGCTCTATCACACCAAATTCTTAATATTAATGGAGAGGCAGTGTGTAGAAACAAATAGAAACACCAGATTGGATCTTGCCTATTTGTTGTATAAACAGGCATGGGAATTTGAACAGGACTCATGTGGAACAGACACTCTGTTCAATATGCTCATAGGTTGGAATGTCTCTACCCATTTACAAAAATCTGCTACATTTATATGCATATGGGTATAGAATCTGGTTGCCTCCCTCTCCTCTGCCAACTGTTTTGTCTATCAAAATGACAATAAGTAACCTGTAGGTTAAAATCAAGGTTAGATGAAGTCCAAGTCTGTTAAATTAATCCAGCAAGTGTCAGAAAGTTTCATGTTGTTACACTGAGTTTGTACAACATGGTTTGAACTGCATAAGTTCATTTACATGTGGGGTTTTTTTCTCAGTAAAGAGTAAATACCATTTTTTGGTAAATACTGTAAATGTTTCTCTCCCGTAAGATTTTCTTAATAACCTTTGCCTTTCTCCAGCTTGCTTTATTATAAGTCTCAGTATACAGCACATATAATATCCACGGTATGTGTTAATTAACTATGTTATAAGGCTTCTGGTCAACAGTAGGCTATCAGTAAAGTTTGGGGGGAGTCAAAAGTTATATACTGATTTTTGACCATGCAGGGGGCTGACATCCCAACCCCAATGTTGTTCACGGATAAATGGGACTAAGTTACTCTACTAGAAACAGAAACATCATTGCCAGTCAGTGGCTGAGGCTGTCCACCTTCCTTGACATAATTATAATTAACTCACAAAAAGACACATCACTTCATGATATTATGAAACAATTCTGTGTCGGACTTTGATGATCACATTCCATCTACCACCTTGGCTCTCACTCTGATCTAACAGAAAAATACATTAGCTCTTGAGCAGGTTTCTAATACTTGGAAAATATATAAATGGTGTCGCAAAAAGGGTAAAAATTGGTGCATTCTCTTCCTTCAGTGGTATCACTTAACTTAGGGAAAAAATAGAGTTCCCTCAAACTTATTAGAAATGCAAACATTCCATTATTTTCCAATAAAATAGGCAAAAATATTGATTTTATGGCATGAAAGAATCTCTCAGAACTAAAAAAAAAAAAAAAAAAAAAAAATCCAGTATCCTCACTCACAAACTCTAAATGCCTGTTTGCATCAAAGAATCTCTTAAGAATGAGGAACTTTACAATTGTTATGATTTAATCTTTCTGTGGATTCCTAAGAGCAAACAACCCAAGGACCAATCCCAGTGACAGCTGCAGCCTGCATGTGTGGAGCGTTCTTGTGACTCTCCGCCAGGTGGCACTGCAGCCCCAAATGCAAACGATCTTCAAAACAGGATGGGAAGAAGTTTCAGAAAAATTCAAGAATTTTCCGGAACTCAGAATGAACACACATCCATGCTTCGGCAAATTTACTTTCGTTATATACCGGAATCACCCTATAAGCCCAGATGAAGGCAAGCCCCAAATGTGGCCAAACCCCAGCCAATTCCAGGATCTCTCAGATGGTCCACATTCTACTGTTAACTTGCAGCAGGTTCACGGACAGGCCTGGGACGGCTCTCTGTTAGAAGCCTAAAGTTTAGAGTATAATTAGAAACCTTTAAATTAACTTCATTTGTGCTTTGGCTTCCTTATAAAGGCTGAATCTCTTGGGGGGCAGTGGATGGAAAAGAAAAATAAATCTCCGAAGTGACTCAAGAGGAGAAAAATACTTCACTGAGCCAATTACCAGCAAGAAGAAAAGCATACCATCCTATCAACCTTGTAATGACACCTGTCCCCCTAAAAGCCCATAGAAATGTATAAATAGTGCGCAATCCATTATCTGAAACTCCTGGAACCAAGTGTGTTTTAGAATTCAGAATTTTCCTTTTCTCAATTTCGAAAGGTAATACAGTACATATACCATAAATGCAGTAAAATACCTAACTGAGGCTAGGGCAGTAACCAAAAATCCAACACATTATTTCTGCAGCAAAATCAATGAATATTCACACTACAAGGGATAAAGACAATAAATGGCTTCACATTAGTTCCATCAGCCTCTTTTATCCCAATGAGTCTCTAACTTAAGAAGGGGGAAAAAAAAGCTTTCCATTTTCAGGCGTATTTTGGATTTAGGGATTGATATAAAGGATTGTGGGTTTATGCCACCCATTTCCTTTATATTCAGGGACTATCTAAAAATGGGCATGGCACCAATTGTGAAATTGCTTGAAAGGAACTACCAAAAGATCTGCAAAACCACAATAAGAAATGTTCTATTATAACAGTTAGTGTGACAGTCATATCGTGCAGGTTAAGATACGAATCAGCAAAATTAACTAGGAGATTCTCAAAATATGTAGACTTAAGCACTGCAAAATAAATAAATACATAAATATATAAGAAAAGTAAAGAAAAATATAAAAATGAGAATCCACATCTCCGCATCCTGAATTGTTCTTGAAAAATGAAAGATTCATACAGAATCACCTCCATTCTCAGTAGATCAGAGAACCAGAGAATCAGGACTCTGGTTAACAAGTGAAGCTGTCTTATCTCTTCCCCTTACTCCACAAGACCTTTTGTAATCCCTTTCTATGTCAATCCTGTCTTCCACAACAGGGAAATGAGTCTGGGTCACTGTGACTACTCCCTAGGAGTTATTCTAATGCCTTTCCAAGTAAGTAGAGAAAACAAGGTTTTCTAGGCAACAGAAAGCCTTTGCACACTTACGGGGAAATTTTGTCCCTACCTATTTCTTTCTTTCGAAGTATCGGTTAATCTTGGCAAATGTACTACAACCACATGATGGAATCAATGTATTTACTCAGATGAAGGTCCTCTATTTACTTAGACCCAAGTCCTTAGCAGACACTCGATCATCAGTGAAGTCCTAGAGCCTTCCATCCTGTGCCTGGAATTTAACTGACAATGTTCCAGCGTGTCTTCACGTTGGATCTCCACTCTTACTCTCATCCTAGTGCCCCACCGATGAAAACTTACTTAATCCAACGTCACCCTCGTCTTGGTCGTTTGGAGCTCGATGATGGCAAAGACGGCGAAGGAGGAGTCCCACATGGCTCAGCAGGATGAAAGGTGGTGGCAGCCAAGGCTTCTTGTGATAAGTCATGATGTAGCGATAGCGATTGTACTTCCATAGTTTATTGGAAATGGATTTCATATCCACGTAAACATTACTGCAAGTTGTAGTTAAGACAGGGATAACTTTTTAATATGGCATCCTGAAACATCACAGATCCTTTCTCTACTTTCCAACTTTTTGACTGGTTCACCTGACCTTCCCAGCCTTAGCCAATAAAAATAATATCCATTGCCTTTGTGATTCTTCTTCTACCCAAAAAGATACATTAATCACCTTCTACAGTAAAATATGCTAATCAGAATAAACAAAAAATAGGAATGACAATCAGAGAGAAAATGCTAATGTTTTAAATGCAATGAACAGAAACTGAAACTTTACACTATTCTTGGTACACCATCTCTTCTCACATAGGAAGTTCTTTTCAGTCCATAATTCACCATTCACAGTAACTACTGTTAATGTTTCTCTCTATTATCAGCCTTATGAAGAGATTCTCCTCATGTCAAACATGAGAACTGATAGAATAATCCCAGTTATAACACACCCAAAGGAAAGAATGGTAATGAAGAAGCAACAGGGAAGAAAAATGAATTCACCCTAAAATAATCAATAAGGGCACCTTCTATGTAGAAACTAAACTAAATTACTTAGATTAACTTTACAATGAAGGTAATCCTTTATCAATAGGCTACCTTAGATGATCTCTTTTACATTAATTTTAATATGTAGATACTAGGGTAAATACTGATATTATGGAACTGTCCATGAAGTTGTGGTAGGTGGTACACTTACTCCAAAACACCATATCATCTCTAATTACTTAACTTTAAGTCTATAACACGGTAAGTGCAGGGAGAGGACACAATGGAATGTCTATCTTAACATTCTGCTCAGGCTAATATAAAGTTTGGCTTTTATAGAGAAAGATGGCAAAGTGGCACTTGAGTAGGACAGGAGAAATTAGCCAGTAAAAAGACAGGCAGCCCTAAATGTGAGCGATCATAAAAAGAAGGAACCAGAACTATCCTGGAGAAAGCCATCTCAGAATAAGAGGGAGGGGGAAGTTTCACAGAATCCATAAAGTGGATGATGGAAAGAAAGAAAACTGGGTTTGGCAGAAGAGACTCATAAATATGGAGAACAAACTGAGGGATGCTGGAGGGGCTGTGGGAGGGGGGATGGGCTAAATGGGTAAGGGGCATTAAGGAATCTACTCCTGAAATCATTGTTTCACTATATGCTAACTAAATTGGACGTAAATTTTTAAAAATAAAAAATAAAATTAAAAAAAAAAGAAAGAAAGAAAACTGGGTTTGCTTTGGTTTTGTGAGAAGGGGGTGGGTACAGAGAGAATCCTAAGCAGGCTCTGTCCTCAGTGCGGAACCCGATGTGGGGCTCAATCTCACGACCATGAGATCATGGCCTGAACTGAAATCAAGAGTCGGACACTTAACTAATTGAGCCATCCAGGTGCCCCAAAAGATAGAAAACAGGGTCTTAACATAGTTCTCAAAGTGTGGTCTGAACCACAGCATTAGCATCACCTGAGGACATGTCAAAAATGTAAATTCATGGGCCCTAGCCCAGAACTACTGAATCAGAAACTCTAGCAGAGACATAACATCAATCTGTGTCTCAGCAAGCCCTCCAGGTGATTCTCCTGCACCATCAGGTTTGAGAACCACCAGGATTAAATGCCAGTCACTCCAAGTGTAACTACAGCCTGTCCACCAGCAGGTGGCAATCTTCACAGTGTATTTCAGGGTGGTGGGGGGGAAGGGTTGTTTGTCTGTTTTTGTTTTTGTTTTTTTTGGTTTTGTTTTTGTTTTTTGTAATTCTTGCTATGAAGAATTTAGAATGGGCACCTGGACAAGTAGTCATATCTGGGGTTTCTCAGCTCATTGGTCCTCAGGCTGTCCATCTCTAAAGAGAGACAACTGTCTATGTGAGGATTTCTCAACCTCTCTTTTGACACCTGCCATTTTTGAGAAGCAAAAATCTCATACCCACTCTAAATATTATTTGAAATGTCATAAATAATAGCTATACTAACTAAACACCAGGATATGTTAGACATTTATAAAATGGTGGGACTAAAAGAGATGACAGTTACATAAGCTTGTAACAAACAGAAAGGTACATCTTCCCATATATTTGCAACAACAGTCATTTTTTTAGTATTCTGATTTATTTTGCTCCCCTCCAGCCCTTTGCTTCCCTATTTTCTTTACTTATATTCCACTGCATTGGTTTCTCTTCTTTTATATTGCCCTCTTCAGTGGGGTAATCAATGAATAAAATACTAAGCACACTGCCTGGCATAAACGAGGCATTCAAAAAATACTAGTTTCCTCCCATCACTTCACTTGATTTCTCTTAACCATTGAACAAATATATTTATGCACTCTTTTTGGTACTTGGGAAAATTTTTTCAGCAAAAAAGACAATACGATATCTTGTCCTTGAGGCACTTATATTCCAGTAGACAAAAAAGACAAACAGGAAAAAAAATATATAAAATATAAAACTTGTATGTACACAAGTGGGTACAAAGAAAGAAGAATAAGGGGGACCAGGCAAAGAGATGGCTGAAGGAAAGGGCGGTGTGCTTTCAAATGCCATCCTTAAGTTAGGTCTAATTAAAAAGGGAACATTTGAGCACAGGCTTGAAGGGGGTGAGGGAATGGGTCCCACTGATACCTGAAGGAAGAGCACTCCAGGCAGAGCGAACAGCAACTGCAAACACACCTGTGCTGGTTGAAAACCTATGGGTGTGTGTTGGGGGGAGGGGGGGGGCGGGCAGTGTGGTTGGAGGGGAAAGGGTTAAGGGAAGAGTAGTGTGATGTGTGATTTTAAAAGCAGCAGGAAAACCAACTCACCAGGGCTCTCTAGGTCATGGTAGGAATTGTGAAGTGGGGAACCATTGAGGGTTTGGAGCAGAGTAGTGACACCATCTGACATATGTCTTTGAAGAGTCATTAGGGACAACTGTTGATAAGAGTATATAGGAGCCAAAGACAGAAGCAGAGAAATAAGTAGGAGGCTCTCCAGTAGCAGTGGGGTGGTAAGAGGTGGTTGGATTGATGATCTATTTGAAGGCAGAGTCAACAGGAGTCCCTGGCAGTTTAGAGGTAGAGACATAAGTAGCATTAAGAATGACTCCAAGGCTTTTGGTCTGAACAACTGGGGAAATGGAGATTTGATGGAAACTTGTGGTCTTCTCCCTAGATTTGAGAAAGATGACAAGTAGAATAAGTACATGCTGGCAAAGAGAGGAGATCAGGTGGACACTTAGAATTTTTAGAATTCTATTATACATCCAACCGGTAGCAGATAAGGGGGCAGTTGGAGCTGTAAGACTGCAGTTCAAGGAAGAGATTCGGGCTGGAAATACAAATCGGAATTTGTCAGCATTACAGGAAACTGACCAAGATCACCAAACGAAATGTAAATAAAAGATGAGCAAGGTCTGGGCCCAGGGAAGTTCCAAGGTTAAAAGGTTGAGGAGAAGGAGATGATCCAGAAAAGTAGACCGAGAAGAAATGAAAAGGGAGAAAGAGGAAGCAAAGAGGAAGACATACTGGAGCCAAGTAACGAAAAGTCACAAAGAAGCCCTCCGTCAGCTTTTAATCTCAGCAACAGTTATTCTTCCGCGATTCCAACTTACTACTTTACTACAATGCATGATCTCCTTTCATTCTGCTTTTATTACTCTCTCCATTTATTGTTTTTTTTTTTTCTTTTCTTGTGCTCTCTTCCCTTCCTACCAGTAGTTTCATGCCCATGTTTTAAAACCATAATGAAAAGGGGGAGAAAATGGCACACACAAAAACCAAAGTTTACATACCCCAAATATGAGAATCTACTCAAAACAACTGCCCCCATTTTGATTTAAATAAAATAACCATATTTAACTAAAATAACCTACTTGAAAAAAGCAATCAACAGGTTCACCATGATGATATACTGCACGAAGAGGTAGACAGCTTGGAGGAACGGAGTAAGAAAAGAACCAGGAGGGCAAGACGGATGGCTTGCACAAACTACAAATAAAGAATTTAACAGAATGAGAGATAAGATGAATCACAGTCCTATGGTTCTACACAAATATTTATCACATTAACTTAGCAGAATACCATAAATTTTTGACATCTTTAAGATCCAGATGAATATTTTCCAGATTGTTTTTTTACTCTGAGTATCTACAAGGGTTTGATTTCTGAACGATGCCAAAATCCCCAACACACCATCTATATCTGAAGCATAGACTTCTCCATATATCATCCAGTATGGCTCAAATACAATATCTCGAGCAAGGCTCCAAGATGGCAGTTGCTTTGGTGAAAGAATGGCCTTGCGTGCCACTCCAAAGCTCAGCAGGACGATGGCCATCATGATCACAATGTAGAACATGTTTGCGGTCTACAAAATAACACAGCACAACCAGAACTTTACCTCTGATTTTAAATTTAGAACAAATCAAACACCAGCAGCATTCATAATCACACCTCCCAGTATTAAGACTGTCTAGTCATTGACCAAAATGCCGTAGTCCATGACTAGCTGGGTTTCCTTTGGCTAAACCATTTCCTCCCCTCTGCCACAGCATGTTTCATGTCAATGTCTGTCTAAAAACATAGATGTGTTGAGGGTGAAGAATCTGTGCTTAAACAAAAAATAGGGAGTATTCAAATTGGTCAAAGGAGTCCTTATCCCTAAGGTTATCTTCAGGAATCAATTAGAGACTGAGAAATGGATCAGGTCATGTTCATTTCACTTACTAAATGTACATCAATTCAACCCTTTTGTTCACTTATTTCATGAGTATTTCATGAGCTCCTCTGAATTTCTTAGCCTCCCTTCCACAAAGCTGGTACCATATGACCTATTCTAACCGATAGCCTGTGGAGTGGCAGTGAGTTATTTTAATTCCTGCCCAGAACAGTTAAAAGCTGTTAAACTTTCTCCATCCCTCTCATTCCCCACCACAGGAGACCTTGGAATCCATGTTATGTTGACATGGCACCGTCACAAGATAAAAGGATTCTTGATCCCTGAGTTATAGGGTAGAGCTCAGCCCCCATGAACACTCATTAAACTTTGCATTAGGGAGAAATAACTTGTGCTAACTCACCAAGATGTATCAGTTACCTCAGCACAACCTATCTGATAAATATCAATGCCACCAAGACCAGAGAATATTTCTTGTTTAAAAATATGAAGAAAAAAAAATTTTAAATATAAGTGTAAAGAAAGAAAAATCTGTCTTTGGAGTCCTAGAGGTTCTCCCTCTTCTGTTCTCCTTTGTTCAAGCACTACCCTTCTCTCTCCAGAACTTGCCCCATCCCTGCCAGTGAGTATTCCAGAAGGAAAAGCCAAAGATGATCTGGAGAGTACTTTCTAGAGGGTGGGTCTCAGGTCCCTAAGCCAGTTGGAGAAGGCTAACCCAACTGCACAGCAGGCTCAGATGACAGAGCCGGATGGTCCAGATTTGAAACCTGACTCCCCTACTTATGCCCTGGGGAAATTTACTTAACCTCCATTTCCGTGTATGAAAAATATGGACAACAGTAACAGTGCCTATCTTATAATGTTATTTTGAAGATTAAATGAGTTAATAGGTACAAGTACTTAGAACATAGTGTAGCCCATAACGCATACCACTTAAGAGTTGGCTGCGGGTGAGGAGATAAAAAGATACATTGAAAGTGTTAGCAGAAAATATTACTGGTGGTAGCCTCACACAAATCTGACCTTCGAGAATCACTGTGCTCAGAGACACATTTGATTCAATCATATCTTCTGGCCGTAACCAGAAGGCTAATAAGTGGAGTCTCCTTATCAATCACCCAATATACTCTGCAAGGACATTTGTTAAATATGAGTTTGTGGTTATAAAGAAAGCAGAGACGACATGAGCTCAATGTCTGTGCTTCTATAAACAATTCTAAAGGTTAAACTACTGGATGTGAACCATGAAAGTAGGCAAAGTCATTAAAAAGGACCCCAGAACACACAAACAGATCGTACTCACCATTTTTGCAATCATGGTCACATATGGACCTACGTGTTGATTCACGGCAAAGAAGTCCAGGAGCCGTGAGAACCAGAATATGATGTCTATGCAGTAGATTAGTCTTCCCGCTGTGTGCAAAGGAGGGTCGCCCCACCGAAGGCCAAAACCAACTGAAAACAGGCCAATAGCCACAGTTTCTATTAGGTTCCAGTACTCACTAATCCATACCTTCACCTTTTGAGTAAACTTCCCAGGTTCTGAAATACAGACCTAAAAGAAGAAAGAAAGAGGGAAATTTAAAGAATGGAGTGTGACCCAAGGGGCTCATAATACTGTTCTTTGGCACATCAACTGCTGGCTTAGAGAATAATTTGAACCCCACCAAACCTTGATCACAAGGGTATTTTAGAGCCTTCAGTTATCCTTGGCCAATGAATTATTAAAACGGTTCTATAAATGTGTTTTAATGTCACCAGCTATTTGAAAAACAAACCAGAAAAAAAAAAGAATACGTTTTCCTACCTTTCATTAATCCTAAGCTAACGCAGGGGGCCACCAAGACATTTAAAAACTCAGTATTACCGTGGGTCTATTACAGCTACCTTTCTGTTTTCATGAGGGAGAGCCAGTACAGAGGAAACTGGTTTGAAACCAAGGAATCCTGTAATCGAGTCCTGCTACCACTACTTAGTGAGTCGTTGACAAATCACTAAGAATGCCACATTAGAAGTCACTAGTATAAGAAATTACCCCTGCAAAAGAATATCAGACAAATTCAAACGTAAAGTCATAAACTTATTTTTCCCAAAGCATAAAAAATGGTGGCATTCAGAGGTTTTTCTCCTGAATTGTTTTCTATAAACTCCACGATACTGACTAGCAGGCGATACAGGTATAATTACTAAGAATACATTCACTTAGTATACAGTGTTCATCATATTAGCTCCAGGACAAAATGAATGTATGTGAATGCATATACATAGAGACACATATACACTGACATGTAAAACAAAGTTATAGCTGCATATGATTATAGTTAAAACTGCATGAATGTTACCTCTGGGGTTTTTTTTAAGCGACTCGCTTGCAAAACCAAAAATGAAAGTTTTGTTTTGTCTTTTGGACTACTTGCCTCAGGGATTCTCAGTTTCAATTTTCAAAGGTGTTTAGGAAAATAATTCAAAAGCCATCAATGAATTCTTTCCTTATTGCACAACTCTGGCCACTTATTTGCCTACTGTAAAATGAGGCTGACAAGGTACAGTAATGGTAGGCTATAAAAATCAATCTAATTAAAAATAAAAAAACCTTCTGGGAAATCAAACAGTTGGAGGGTCTAACAACAATTAGATAGCCTCACTCTAAGACAGATAAACACACTTGGACGTCTTTAAAAATAACTGCTTTCAAAGAGCAGCAACCAGCAGTAAGTCTTTGGCAAGGATTAAGGGTTGAGATCAGAGATCTTCCCCTAAATACCCTTTCTATCCCAAGCAAATCAGGATCAGCATTGCCTGTCTCGCCCCCACCCTTGCTGTATCTGTCCGTTTTCATCACGAGCCCAAAACACCTCTTCCTAGAGGTGGAGAAGACAAAGGTAGAAGGGGCGACTCACCTCCCTGACCTTCTCAATGGCATTGGTGAAGATATAAATGATAACAAGCCACTCTTGCACGCTGGGCTGGGGCTGCATCTCCACCAACACAGTGTAAGTGAACAGCATGAGGAATGCCAAATATGCCATCTATGAGGGGGACACACATTCCCTGGACATGAGTGAGAGTCGTAATGGAGAATGCCAAGTAGACACAAACCGAGCCAAGCAGAGACACAAAGGAACTTCAACATGATAACATGGAAATATAACTTCCGTTTACGCAGAACCTGATTTCAAGGAAAGTACAAGAATGTACAGTTTTCTATGCCAGAATTTAATGAAAGCAATGAAGACCGCTGTTCCCAAATGCATGGAATGGGGCACTGTCTCATCTTGTTGGCTCCTGACCAGAATTTCTGGAACCCGGCCCATGCCGACACGGACACCGTCAGGCTAACGACAAACCGAGAGAGAATCATACACATTCCCCTCCCTGTAAGCATAGAAAACACGTGCCCCAAGTACACCAAGGAGCAGTATCAGTAGGTGTCTATTTTCGAATGTAATAAAATGTGACATTAGCTTCTGCTGGGAGTTTTATTTTATGTTGATAAAAACATCCTGGTTAGCGGGAAAGTATCGTCCAACTGTGAGTCCTTGTAGTGAAAGACTGTTCACATTTTTATCTTCAGCTCTCAAACTAACACATGGTAGACATTCAAGAAATGCATGTTTCATTTTTAACTATATATATTAAACCTAGATTTCCAATATCTTCAAAAAGTTAAGACACACTAAGCACACACATATATAGACACATAGGGACTAATAGCTTTGTAATCTTTTCCAACGTTCTTATTATCTTAAGATATATTCCCAGAAGTAGAATCACTGGGCATACACATTTAAACCCGTGACAATGCTACTAAATTGCCCATCAGAAAGGCTTTACCAGTTTCCATAATCACCAACAATGCATGAGACCGTGTTCTTTTAGTGACTTCAGTGACAATATGTAGTGCTAGCTGATCGACAGATGTATTAAAGCCCCAGATCAATAGCGAGGGACGTGTGTGTGTGTGTGTGTGTGTGTGTGTGCGTGTGTGTGCGCTCATTTTCATTCTCAAGGAAGTGAATCATATTACTTTAACCTGAATCTCTATTTTCAGATCTTTCTGAGCTCTACCTAAGCTTGGTACATTACCCTCCCAGTAGAGTTCTACGCAGAGAATGGCCAAAACCACTTCTAACTACACAGTAGTCATTGTATATACAATGGGTGGTATTTGGGGAAGACACGGTGGGTATTGCTGCCTATGAGATAAAGAGTTTAGAAAAGCAAGCACATAAGAAAGTTAAGGTAAATTCTGTTAATTCTATATTTCTCGAAGTTTATTCCTCAAAGTCTAAGCATGTTTGATGACCACTTAGACACATAATTTAAATAAATTTGTTCTATCAAGTAATCTTTTTTTTTCCTTTTTGTCATTGGCTTCATGATGACCAAACACTAAATCACCGTAGATATTGGTAATATTGCCCCCTGATACTTTCTTTCTTTGCAACTCTTAAAAGATCCAAAAATGTTTACATTTTTTCTTCTTCATCATCACATTTGTAACAAGACACTGCTTCAGTAAAACACGCACATCATAACCGAGCCATGTGACATCAAGTCAAGAATGTCTGTGTTCACTGCTAACACTGTCCATTATGGGGGGGCAGACCCAGGTGGCTAATTTGTTCCATTTGTTTGTTAACTATGTGTTGTTGCTGTTCTCTTTGCTTAGCTTTACTCCTGTCCCTAAGAGTTCATCGGCTGGAGATTTCCAAGAACAGAAACACTGAATATTTTTTTCTCAATGACATGGCTATGGCTAAAAGTCTCTCAAAGCTACTATCAGAGACTTTGGGATATTTTGTTACACATTCACAAAAAATGGTGAAACCTCATCATTTGAAGGAAGATTTGATTTTTGATAGCGGAACTATGTACATATTTAATAAATATATGAAATACACGTTTGGATGGGCAAGTAAATATTTTGCAATGTAACACATTTAGATAAGTGTCCTTTTATAGTCGCACTTGAAATGTTTTAGAAATACACAATTTGGCCAGGAGCAATTTAAAGTATAAGTAAGCATTAGAAAAATAAATGTTATTAAATAAATGTGAAAAGCACTCATTACATTTAAAGTGCAGTTAATGATTTCTCTGTATCACTACTATCAATATTAAATGTATTATTTATTTATAAAATTAACTTCTGCAATGTCATTGTCCTCCAAGGCGGAGGGGGGTGTCAGAAGAGGAAAATGAAATGATATGAAATGAAATGAAGTGAAGTGAAGTGAAATGAAATGAAATGAAATGAAATGAAATGAAATGAAATGAAATAAAATAAAATAAAATAAAAAAGTTTTATTATTCTCTCTATATTTATAATCATATGTGATTGAAGACAAAAAGCAAACACTTTGCATTTTTTGTTCATATTACACATTACACCTACAAATAACAAATCAACTCAACTGCTTGATTTCTTTGCCCAAGATGAGAAAAGGATCCACAGCCATCACTTAATTCTACAACCACTACTGTTACTTGGCTGTTCCACAAAGTTTCACAGGCTCAGTCCCAGCAGAGCTAATAGGAAGCGCTCAGGAAAGAAGAAAATTCTTGTTCTTTTACTCCCATAGTAAGAGAGATTTGCTACAACCTGTCCTCACCTCCCTCCAATCTTCTCTCCTACCTCCTCTGTGATTCCCCTCATTTTTTTTTCTTATCGCACTTCTACATTTTATCACAAGTTGGCAAACCAGGCATATCATTACCAAAATCATCATTAACTATTGACCATCATGAAGCCTATTTTTAATTGCTGCAATGAGACCAACCGTATAAAACCAAAACTTGACAATTGGAGCATTGTAGAACTCATAGATTTTCCTGGTCCATGGGAGGCTTTGGGGACCACTCTTTAAATCAAAGTGCTGATTTTCATCTAGTTTCTCATCAGGGCCTCTCTCCAAATCACGGTCTTTCTGCAAAATAAATAATCATTTATTGTCAGAGCCTTAACTAAAATCCTGATATTTGCAAACATCCAAAATATGTAACTATTTATGAATATAATACATTAGAAATTAATTGGGCACCCACCTGCCAAATTATAATCTTAGTCTTGCGAGGAAAGAAAACTACATGTATTGCATAAATCTCTGACTTTTGGGGAAGGAGCCCAAGAGATCTCTGAAATGCAAGCCAAGTATCCAATAATGAAACCTAGTCAGACCAAGAGTAGTTCCAAGGGTTTAAAAGTGGTCCCTGCTCCTATTCTGCTTAACCTCCTTTGTCAGTATTTTGAAACCTAAAGATATCGTAACATTCCCCTGAAATCATTAACAGATAATACAACTATCTCCATAATAGAGGAAGACAAAATAGACACCCATCGATGATGTCTTTCCCAAGTCCTAGGAAAGTTGGGCACAGCATGAGTTTCAGAATTTTGGCTTTTGATAGCAGACATGTAGCCCTCATTGATGGCAGGGGTGCTGTGCCTAAAGTCCATGGACTCTCTGAGCTTCCAGGGTTCCTTGAATCCTCCTGCAACTATACGCCAGTATTTGTGTTGTACATGCAAATATTTTTCCAAGGAAAGCACCAAATCTTTCACCAGTTTCTTACAACAGATGTGTCAGTCCAAAGGGGTTAACCTTTGTAGGTGATGAGAAATAAGCATCTGTGTGGCAGACAAGGGGATGCATGACCGTGACTACACAGGTGTGCACACAGGATAAAAGCCTTGTAAAAAGCGGGCGGAAAGAACTGAAAAGAAAAGAAAGTATTACTTGTAGCCTGGTTGTTTTGGGGAAGAGGGAACTTAGGAATGGTAAAAGAGAAGCAAAGAGATGTCACCCTACTCTATAAAGGTCTGTGTGGTCCTAATTTTTAAACAGGAAATGCATTCCTTTTGTGACTTTAAAAAATATTAAATGAAAAGAAAGCAATGTTCTCTGATGCTTCTTTGACAAGTACGTTTCTCATCCTATCCACCAAAGATCTCTCTCTAGTTGTCACACCTGCAAGACTGGTATGATTTTACAAGACAAGGAATAAACGAAGTGTTGCTTGAAATGTCCATAAAATTGAGAAAATGTAATTTTTGAGGCTTCTGGCTACTAGACGGGTTATCTCAGTGTCTGATTGATGGTTGTCATTCACATCACTTTGGGCAATGAAATTGGGGTTGTGACTTAAAAGTATAGGAACTGATCTGGTTCCTAACAGGTTTGGACCAGCCCAGAGTTAAAATAACTTAGAACCAATAAGAAAAGTCCTCATTTACTGTGATTTTAATGACATCAGTACCACGTTAAGAAGACCCCAGAAAGCAATTTAAGTAATGACTTTGTGAGTAAATAATATCTCTTATTATTTTTTTCTAGGAATTTCTCATTAGGTCTTACTTAACTCTTGACAATTTGGTATGCGTTATAAAGCCCTAATTGGGCCTCTCTCTAAGTTGAATTCAAAGACACCCAACTACCATGAGGAAGACAATGTGAGAATATAAATTCAGATTCAGGACTTTCCTTCCTTCACCCTTACAAGAAGGTAAACATAAAAATGTTTCACTTAGCTAACTTTTTTTCTATTCAAATCTCAATATCATCAATCAAATGGTCTCTCTCTCTCTCTCTCTCTCTCTCTCTCTCTCTCTCTCTCTCCCCCCCTTCCTCTCCCTCTTTTCTCTCCCCTCTCCCCTCTCCTCCTCTCTCCTTCCTCTTTCTCTCAAAGGAATCTGCTATCAGCAGGCACACAGGATAAAATTATAACTACAACAATCAACTCTACTAAAATCCATACCTATTTTCCACTGTATTACTACCATCTTCCCCACTTAATGATGGTCTGATCAAACACATTATCGTTCAACTTTTGAAAACATTTTTTCATTGTAGTTTATCAACATGTCTAAGAACTAAACTCCTCTTTCTCCTTCCAAACCTGCTCCTTTTCCAAATATTCCCATATCCTTTCAAGATGTCCTTGTTTTAACCATCAACCTCTTGGTCGTATTTGCTACCTCCCTCTCATTTTCATGCTCCATGTTCAAACTCTATTTGATTCTTCACTTAAGATTTCTCTTTTCCTCTCTATGCCCATTGCTACTAACTCTGGCCAAAGCCCGTAATCCTCCTCATCTGGATGGTTACACCAGGCTATGTTCTCCCTGTTTTCAGCCTGTCTTCTTGCCACGTCATCCTCTACGCTGGAGGCAGAATAATTTTCCTAATGGTCAGAGCATCTTGCTACTGTATCACATACATCCACGGGGTCTCCGTTACCTACAGAAAAAATACCACATTCCCTCATAGGATATACAAGAGTCTCCATGATCTAGCCTCAATCTACTTTCCCAGCCATACCCACAAATATTTCCTCCTTGTCCCATATCCACTATAACCTGGGCTCTAGCCAAGCCAAGGAACATACGATGTTTGACATATGCCTTGCAATTCCTGCCTCTGGGCCCCTACCTACTATCTGTCCTTCCACAGAAATGCTATTTCCACATAAGTCCATCTTAACCACTACCTCATTCATGAAGCCACCACCAATCTCCAATCCTCACTGACTGACACCAGATGAGAAGAATCTTCTCCTTCTAGTTAAGGCATTCGGCCATCTTGCTATAATTTGTTCCTAAGAAAGCTCCTGTCATCAAAAGTCATGCTTTCAAAGGGCTAGCAGCTAGATAGATTAAACTTCTGATGGCAAAGTTATTTTACCTGTAGAGACTTCAGTAAGGACTTTTATAAAACCTCATGAAGCAGATGCAGTGGGTGAATCTACACAGCTTCAGAACAATGGGCTTCCTTTTCCTATTACCGGTGGTACTTTCGTTATATTCATTATCACCTACTATTACCACAAGGACAAACTACAAAGACCTGCTAAAAGAGCATCTACCTGCCTTCACTTTTCTCCCAAAATATAGAATACAAATTGTGTTCTTCAACTTATCAAGCATATTATATTTAATCAACATTGTGAAATCTTACCGTCTCATCAAATGCTGACTCTCTGCTTAGCAAAATTCCAAACATAAAGCAGGTAATCAAAAACTATTGCTCTAGTTAAATTCATAGACAAGAGAACATTGTTACTGTGATTATAATCCATTCAGAACAGGACAAATTGAAACATTTTTTAAAAAATGCTTTAAATTGAATAATGCTGAGGTATCGCAGGTACTCGGCCTGATTATAAGCCCCATGGTGGCAGAAGCCACCATGCAGTGTCCCCAGAACACTGTATCTTATCTGGCACATGGGAGGTGGCCATTAAATATTAATTTAATTGATAAATTGATATGGCCATGTCCAAAGCATCCAGGTGGGCAATTGTTATAAACAGAACCACTACAGTACAGCCAAAGTTTAATTTTTCAGGGAATTGTGAGAACGTACCATGTTTTTCAATGTTAAGAGTATAGTTAATTGCCACTTAAGGAAGGACTTCCTACTCTAAAAGTTCCCCTTTGAGAATGACTACTTAGTGGAATGCTCCAGCTATCTACAATGCCTTAAGTGTTTGTGGGAGCTTAGCTTTCCGTGAAACCTGTAAGAGCCAAAAGTGAAGTTACATCCGCTTGCAAAGTACTATTTGCTACCAACTGCCAACATATTTATACACTTGTTTATAGATAAGTAGGTGGGTGGATGGATGGATAGATAGATAGATAGATAGGTAGGTAGATAAGCAGCTTTCTCCATTGTTCACTTCAATAAACTAACTCAGTGTGAACATATAAATGAGCAAATTCAAACAAAATATCTCACATATGAAGACTTCATTCTATTTCTAAAGGTGTTAAGCCAACACTGCATTTCTTATCTTCCCTTAAAAAAACACTTGAAATGGTCTGTGCTTAGTAACCATATCATCTAGCCAGTACAGTCACAATTGCGACAACTTGATTAGCCCAGCTTGGCGAGATAATTGTTCACGCATTCTACAGAGGTTAGAATGCACCTGTCATCTTATACTCTGAGAACCCCAGATAAAACATCAGTCTTAGCAAAGTGAGGATGGAAGGAAGGGAGAGAGGGTAGAGGAGAGGAATACATATATACCCAAACAGGCATGACAGTCAAAATATTTAACAACTGATCTGATAGGGGCATTAACCAATCAGAATGGATGCTCACCCAATCAAAACAGACGTCAGCCATACCCGCTAATTATAATTATTTTGAATTTAATACTTACTGAATACATTTTTAGATACTATAACAAATACTTCACAAGTGCAAAAGCATATCCAAAAAAGATGCTAACTAAAGATGCCTCATTAAAATATTAAGTACCACAGAAGACGGTCACTGCACCTACAGTAACAAGTTTATAAGTAATGATCCAAGTTGACACAAAAAAGCAAAAAATACGTGCACAGACAGAATACTGGGGACTTCCAATGAAGACAGGTTGCGAGAGCAGTAGCTCAAGTTACTCAGGAAAGCATATAAACTGGGAACTCATGTAAAATTAGTTGGTCACTGGATATAACGAATGTAAAAAAAATTGTGCAGTGAAACAGTAAAGATAATGCAAATTCTAAACCTGCATCTTAACAAATAAAGATTTTTAAGGATATGAGGCATTCCTCATTGTAACTTTAGAGAAACAGTAACTCTATTTATTCTACTTGTCACAAGGGAAAATGAAAAGTGAAGCAGCCATCAAGGCAGAATAAAGACTTTATTTCCCAAAGAAATGGGATATTTTGCTTAATCATATATGGGGGTTAATTAGACATATCATACATGCTATGCCTGATCATAGATAATATGACTAAGATTGCTAAATAAGTTGTTTCCTAAACAAATTTTGGGAATGTGTACATTTGTGCAGGTGTATGAAAATGTGTACGAATGCATATGAAAGCTTAGTTCCTGGGGATATTGTACTAACCGTATAAGCACTTTCTTTGGCATTGCTGGCGTTCTGGTCACCATAATACCATGCAAACTGGAAGTCCTGGGATTGGGGAACATGTGACATCTCTGCTTTGCTTTTAAATTCCAATGACAAAATGGTGGGTGGAAAAAGAATACTTATGATGATCTTTGAAAGAAAATAAAGCAAAAGAAACAGTAAGAGTTACACAAGTCACAAGTATTAGCCAAGTAACAAAATGAAGATTTTCACGTACATATAGTGTCAGACCTATCCCCAATTCAGTTGATAACCTGATTCGACATGTACTTGTTGACTCAATTCCAATTCTAGAAGTGTCACTCTCAGAAATACTCATAAATACAAGTGCATGTGTATAGGGATGATTGTTGCAGGGTTATGTGTAATAGCAAAAAACCTATGTCAACCTGGGGTACCTGGGTGGCTCAGTCAGTTGAGCGTCTAACTCTTGATTTTGGCTCAGGTCATGATTTCACGATTCGTGGGATCGAGCCCCGTGTCGAGGTCTACACTGACAGTACAGAGTTTTCTTGGGATTCTCTCTCTCCCTACCTCACTCTGCCCCCGCTCCCCTGTCAAGTAAATAAATAAACTTAAAAAAATGTCTATGTCAACCTAAATATCCATCTCCAAAGGGAGGATAGCTGGTGTAGGACAACCTAAGAGTGGAATATTATGCAATCATTAAAAAGATAAAGGCAATTTTTAATATGATGAAAAGATATCCAAGTTATATTGTTATGTGAATAAAGGCAAACTATATAATAACATATATATTGTGCTCCCATTACTGTGCAAAAAGAAAATTAAAAATTAAAGAAGATATGTACATACACATATATGCATTTAAAGGCTTAAAAATATGTATACTACACTGTAATTATTTATCCATAGGAGCAGGCAGTAAGAAGTATTATTTTTCAGTAAGCATGAGCATATTGCTTTCATAACCTTTTAATGCCATTAAGTAGTTATCCCGTAAAACACATTAAAATGTATTCATATTATGAAATCAAGAATATAAAAACATACCAAGTGCCACCTTCTGGTGCATTCAGCTCACATCCTACACAAATATTTTCTTTGCCAGTAAATCTCAAGGAAGGTATTCATCCAGATATCCATAGTTCCTTCATTATTATTGCTATTATTCATGTATTTATGGGCTATTCAAAAGATTTTTTTTATTCAAAAGATTATTTTATGTTCAATTTATATGGCTTTTTTTTTTAATTTTTTTTTCAACGTTTTTATTTATTTTTGGGACAGAGAGAGACAGAGCATGAACGGGGGAGGGGCAGAGAGAGAGGGAGACACAGAATCGGAAACAGGCTCCAGGCTCTGAGCCATCAGCCCAGAGCCTGACGCGGGGCTCGAACTCACGGACCGCGAGATCGTGACCTGGCTGAAGTCGGACACTTAACCGACTGCGCCACCCAGGTGCCCCTCAATTTATATGGCTTTTAAGAATAAATGGTGTAGGAGATTTACTAAATGTTGTACAACTCAACTTCTTGAGCACTACTTTTCTTTCAAGCTAAAATCAGGCCTTAGTTCTCTGGGATTCGGTGAACAAAAATACAATTAACCCTGACTGCACACCATTCATGATTAAATAAACTGAAGTCATATCCTGGTCAACTTTCACTACTGAAATGACTTTTTGTTGTATTTTAAAGCCTGATCTCCTTTAAGAAGTTTTTCAGGACCGTCCCAGTTTTGACAGGGTTTTGTTTGTGTGAACAGTATATGCTTTCTCTTCAGATGTGGAACCCAAAATACACACAGTCTTCTAGGTCTGGAAACATCATAATTACCAGGCACAATGATGACATTACACTAATTAATTCCTAACCCACTTCCTGAAAAGACTCCACTTGTCCCTTGCAGGACAACTGCCTCATGAAACACTACTCAAGGATAGCGATATCCCATTCCCAAGGGATCAGTTGGAGCCTATCACGCTATAAGTATTTAAATGAGTTTTCTCTTCCACCACACCCTATAAGGTCTTCCTCCAGTCTTCATGCGCTTGGAATTAGTCTAACCAGGACACCTTACAATTATTTGCAAATGTGTTCTCAAAACTCACAAGCCAAACACTGGGGAATCAGGATCTACACAGGGAGAGCAATTTCCTGCAGCTCAGAGATTTTAAGTAGCTAATTCAGACTTCCTTCTCGACTCACTGTGTTTTGGGGCAAAACACTCAGTCTTGTTTCACTTAGGTCTCTTTGTTGATACAAGGTACATGAGGAGCAAAATGTTATTAAGTTCTCAGTAAAAAGGATTTCTAGTAAACTAAACTATGTACAGGACACAGCCATGGGGAAAATTACTGCTCAAACTTGCAGCCAACTTACCCCATCTCATTCTCTACACATTTTATTAAAAACAGTTATTGCCAGAGATTGCGTAGCTAGAGGTGGACCCATTCATGTCTCTGCTTCATCATTTCCAAAGTTGAAATCAAAACAGATCAAAGGAGAACTTCCAGAAACAGCTGTTATTTATCTACTATTTTTAAAAGAGGAATCTATGTGAAATAAGTTTTGATTCAATTTCTCTTATTTTTGCAATCTCATTGGTGGAATTGAAATGTGAAAGTTCTTTTATTTATTTTATATATTATGCCTTTTATTTCTTTGTGCTTTCTATAGTGTGTCCAACAAAAACATATTTTTAAGAAAGTCATCCTATTTGGGACACAAATTTTTAAGAACTGCAGGAAAAATAAAATAATATACAGTCTTAATGTATCTCTTAATTCTCATGCTTTATCCCTTTTAATTCAGTTTTTATAAGCATAAGTACTTTATAAGCTTGACCATAACCTAAAGCTTTAGATTTGATGTCAAAAGTCTAATGTTTTTAGTAGTTAACTAAATTACTCTTGATAATTCAAGATGAGAGGTGAGGCCAAACTGTAATGGGTAGAAGAATCTGGAAATGGGTGAACAAATGTGTTTGAGGGAAGCTTTATAAAATAAGCATTTAAGGGACACCTGGGTGGCTCAGTCAGTTAAGTGTCCTACTCTTGAATCTCGGCTCAGGTCATGAACTCCCAGTTGGTGAGATAGAGCCCCACGTCAGGCTCTGCACTGACAGTGTGGAGCCTGCCTGGGTTCCCTCTGTCCCTCTATCTCCCCATTCATGGAGTATGGAGTATGCAGTATGGGGGTAATGGAGTATGACCCCCATTCATACTCATTCTCTCTGTCTCTCAAAATAAATAAACTTTAAAAAAAATAAAATAAGCATTATTCCCTAAAGCATCACATTGGATGAAGAGAACAGAAATTGTTGATTTTATTTAGTTTATTATTGGTTAATATTCTTAAGATGAAAAAAATTTCACTAAAAAGGCTCATTTAGTTCTGTTATAATTATCAGAGGTAATGGACTTTACTAAGAATGAAATCTTGTATGGGAATGCAAGCTGGTACAGCCACTCTGGAAAACAGTATGCAGGTTCCTCAAAAAACTAAAAATAGAACTACCCTACAACCCAGCAATTGCACTACTAGGCATTTATCCATGGGATACAGGTGTGGTGTTTCAAAGGGACACATGCACAATCAACATGTTTGTAGCAGCACAATCAACAATAGCAAAAGTATGGAAAGAGCCCAAATGTCCATCGATAGATGAATGGATAAAGAAGATGTGGTATATATATATAACAGAGTATTACTTGGCAATCAAAAAGAGTGAAATCTTGCCACTTGCAACTATGTGGATGGAACTGGAGGGTATTATGCTACGTGAAATTAGTCAGAGAAAGATAAAAATCATATGACTTCACTCATATGAGGACTTTAAGAGACAAAACAGATGAACAGAAGGGAAGGGAAGCAAAAATAATATAAAAACAGGGAGGGGGGCAAAACAGAAGAGATTCATAAATCTGGAGAACAAACTGAGGGTTACTGGAGGGGTTGTGGGAGAGAGGATGGGCTAAATGGGTAAGGGGCGCTAAGGAATCTACTCCTGAAATCATTGTCGCACTATATGCTAACTAATTTGGATGTAAATTTTAAAAAATAAAAAAATAAAAAAAACAAGAGAATGAAATCTTGTATATTTTTGTATATGCTTCCAACTTCTAACCACCTTCACAAGAGAATGCCTTTTGATGGACAGAGTTGGTACAATCATCCCCATTTTTAAAAAAGAAACCGGGAGATAAAGTAGTTGTCAGAGGGTCCCCTGGGAAGATCCCGGCTCATCTGTGAGAGCCAAAGATACTAACTGGCTTTCCTGAATATACTCTTCCACAACAAGGGAAAAATGAAGTCCAGAATATAGACCTTCAGAATAAACCAATATTAAATTCTATACAGCAAGTAAATACATCTTTTTTTTTTTTAAGTATACTTATTTATTTGGAGAGAGAGAGAATGAATGAGCGGGGGAGGGGCAAGAAGAGAGGGAGAGAGAGAAACCCAAGCACTGACAGCGCAGAGCCCATCGTGGGGCTCCATCCCATGAACCATGAGACCATGACCTGAGCCAAAATCAAGAGTTGGATGCTTAACCAACTGGGCCACCCAGGCGCCCCAAATACACCTTTTTCTTTCAATTCAAGTACAGCTGACCCACAAGGTTACATTAGTTTCGGGTGTACAGAACAGAGACTTGAGACCTCTATGCTTGCACTGTGCTCCCCACAAGTGTAGCTACCGTCTGTCTCTACACAACACGACCACAGCACCACTGACCACATTCCTTGTGCTGCGCCGTTCATCCCTGTGGCTTACTCATTCCATAACTAGAAGCCTGTGCCTGCCTCTCCCCTTCACCCATTTTGCCCATCCCCCCCAGCCTCCTCCCCTTTGGCAACCACCAGTGCGTTCTCTGTGAGTCAATGTACCTTTAGCCAAGCATGTTTCCTCATTTTCAGGCGCCCAGTCCACATGTCTGTCAGCAGCATCTGGGTGCAAGTATGTGAAACGAAAGGCCGCAACCTTCCAGACACAGCCAGTTTCAGACAGGTGGAATCGCTCCAGTTCTTGAGTTCGTAGGTCAGCAGTTTCATGGCCATTCTTTCATTCTGCTTGAATGCCTTCTCCAACACATCCAGGGCAAGCTGGCCAAACTGTCTGTAATGACACACAGTTAGTGGCAAAAAAAAAAAAAAAAAAAATGCAGGTGAGAGTCCCAGTAACATTCAAAACGATGAGAGAGGAGACTCAGGAAAGACCGATGCAAAAGAATGAACAGCAACAGAATAACCTCAGATTGCAAAAGCTATTTGAAAGTGATTGCTGCTCAGATGAACGGTTCTCCCTTTCCAGAATTTGGTTTATACCAGGCATGGCTGAGCTATCTATTCATGGAGAGAAGCCTGTCTACACTACAAACCAGGCTATATATAGCTTGGTTTGGGGCTCTCTGACAAGACCTAATAAAGAATTTTTTTACAGAAAAGACTGTTCAATACTGAACTAGCGATTAAGGAAAATCATGGGGTCACCCTTTTTTTCCTTAACATTTTAGAAAATAAATAGATGACTTGAGTAAGAAGCTAGACTTGGAGACATTTTTGGGGATGTTGTTTACTCTAAGAAGCAGACCCTGCTATTCTCTTGGAATCTTTTTTTTTTTATTATTATTTTTAAAAACTGTGTATATATTTTGAGAGAGAGAACAGGGGATGGGCAGAGAGAGAGGGAAAGAGAGAGAATCCCAAGCAGGCTCCGAGCTGTCAGAACAGAGCCTGACTCAGGGCTCAAATTGAGCCTTCCAGGTGCCCCTCTCTGGAACTTTTATTTTATTTTATTTTATTTTATTTTATTTTATTTTATTTTAAAGTTTATTTATTTATTTTGAGAGAGAAAGAGAAAGAGCGAGCAGGAGAGGGGCAGAAAGAGAGGGAGAGAGAGAATCCCAAACAGGCTCCATGCTGTCAGCACAGAGCCCGATGTGGGACTCAAACCCACAAACTGTGAGATTATGACCTGAGCCAAAATCAAAAGTCTGACACTTAATCGACTGAGCTATCCAGGCGCTCCTCTCTGAAACTTAAAAGTCACAATTACACATTAGTTTCCATTAACTCTAGCCCCTCTTCTTTCCTCACTATTATAATGCTTCAGTAGTAAAAAAAAAAAAAAAAAAAATCAAAACTATTTCTAACTTTTCTATCTTTTGCCATCATGCTCTGGTTCTTTGACACATAACACATTTATTTGTTTTCCTGCCTGAAAGGTACTACAAGTAAACAACAAGTTTTCACTTAACTTAGTATCAAAGAGTATGAGAGTTCAAAATCATTAACTGAACATTCTGTGTGAGGAAACTAGAGTCCTGAAATCTGGCCAACTAATCACCCAATTAGTAAACAGCTGGACTAAGACCAAAACCCAGCTCTCCTAATTTGAGGACCAACCCTCGACTCTCTTCTGCTTGTCCCACAAAGCACCCTGAAATACCTAAAGACCCTTATTTACAGGAGAGCCCAGGAAATGCACGGCAACAAGTCCATGCGTCTTGCAAGTTCTAAGTTGAGGGAGATAAAAGTGTCTAACCATTCTAAGAATTGTCGATGTTTAGTATGAAGTGAAGAGAGAACTCCTACTTTGAGTAATTTTTCAACTCTTCTGAGGCATCATCCACCATGTTGCTCTCCTTAGCTTCATGGGCCATGGCTCGGTAGAGTTTACAAGCAATCACTGCCTTGACCGTGGCCTCCTCTCCATGCTGCCAGAAGAACATGGCCATCTTCTGTCTTTTCATCAGCACAGCCCAAACCAATAGGTCATTGTAAGGGTAAATAAAGCCAGTAGACTCAGGGTCATCTGGTATATTTTGCTCTTCTTTTGACTTCTTCCTTGATTTATGAAGGACTACAGACTTTTCCTGTTGGAAAATAAAATACAAATGGAGTCCCAAATACTCAGATGCATGATATTTGACCTAATGAAACATATCAGGTATCCTAAGAATATTTTTTAAATCATTGACAAGAGATGGAAATAGCAATGGAACTTTATAAACCAGAAATCAAAATTTTGGTCTTTTAGGTGATCTATTTCTCATTGTGTCTGACAGATCCAGGGTCCAGAAGCTGAGATACCTTGTGTTTATTTAGCACAACTTAAAACACTACGCCTTTGGGATAGACCCAATAACTATATGACAATTTTTAATTTCTCCAGGAAATAGGTCAAAATAACATACTGGATAAATGAGAGCTATTCAATTACTCTAACCTTACTTTATAAATCGATTCATTATCTTTCCCTTAGAAAAATGTCACTAGTATTGACAACATGTATCCAAACTGATCAGTTTTAAGTTTCCTTTCCTTTATTCTGATTATATTCCTCTAGTAATAGTAATATGTAATAATGAAATACTATTCTCTGCCTGGCAAGCTAACTCTTTACAGCCCATCAGAAACGCCACTGCCTAACTCCCCCATGTGCTTCTATATCATTATGTGCGTATTTCTATTTCAATATTTATCATGCTGCAATACTATATTACTTCGGGGAGAGTGGGAACATTTCTCAGTCATCTTTATATCTTCTCCACCCATCTGCATCCCAAATTCCACCAAGCACCCAAAGTAATGCCTGCTAAATAACAAGATTCAATGATCAGTCTTTTTGATAAAAGGGGATAAGAGAGAAAACTATAAGCTTCCTCTATTTCTATAAATAAAAGGAATTTGTATTCATTGATGGTGATCAAGGGTAATTTGATAAACTATCCATTCATCCTAGGAGCTATGGAAAGCAAACCTCTTTGAGCCAACATAGGAATCGTGTGTACAGAAACTTGAGCAAAAGCACGTAGCCCCGAGGAAAGTGAACTAAGGGAATGCGAGGAGCCGTGGAATAGCAACGTTGCTCACAGCGCTCAGTTGTTGTTGGAAGATGGCGGTGGCACCCACCTTCCTACGGTACTTGCAAATGGTCTATTGGTGCCTCCCCGTCTCCAACTTTAAATGAAGAAATGGTCTAATCTGCAAGAACAATTTTATTTTCAAGTCTAAAAGTAAATAAGTAGTGAGGCACCTGGCTGATCTCAGGGTTCTGAGTTCAAACCTCACATTGGGCAGAGAGATTACTTTAAAAAAAAAGTTTCAGGGGCGTCTGGGTGGCTCAGTTGGTTGAGTGTCCAACTCTTGATCTCAGCTCAGGTCGTGATTCCAGGGTCATGGGATCCAGCCTGTGTCAGGCTCTGTGCTGAGTGTGGAGCCTGCTTGGGATTCTTTCTTTCTCTTTCTCTTTCTCTCTCTCTCCCTCTCTCTCTAAAAAATAAAAAAAAAAATTTTTTTTTTCATTTCTAAAACTAAATAAGTGGTACCTTGAATTTGTAAGGCTGGGCGGTTCTAATGAACTGGGAGTGCAGAGTGCTTTCTGCAGATTCCTTTCTATTTCCTGAGGGACGTCTTCGGTGCAGAGGGGGCTGGGAACGGCTTTCAGCAAAACTGGTCACTTGCTGGCATACGTTATTTTGTTTTTCAAACAAAACAAAAAGGGAAATGAATATTATTATGGTGACAATGAACATTTCATTTCTAGACGGTAATGAAAACAAAATATTATATTGTATCAGGTATCCTACCAAGTATCCAATGGTTCTGTCTCTAGCCCATAATTAGAATTAATTACTCACCCCACAAAAGCCTCTCATGATCACCTCCTTATTAAGCACAGTTATTTCCTAACGTCTGAGAGAACATGCTCTTTTGTTCCCTATTATATATCTGCATTCCTTCTCTATGTGGAAATTCCATTAAAAATCAATGGATGTTCTATACCTGGAACGAGTTCAGAAGAGGCAATAAAGATTCACAGTTCTGATAAGAGAAAGTTCCCACTCACAAACAACTCCAAGGTTAAGTTAGAAAGTTGTGGAACTTCTCCAGATATTATGAATCACCACTGCAATTCCAGTGATTAGACCCAATAACAACATAATTTGTTGCTTATCAGCATGAAGCTTTCATCAATGAGAAACCAAAAGAAGCATTCTTAAAGGGGCTGACACAAACTATGGCCTTTGAGCTACTTTATCTATCTATCTATCTATCTATCTATCTATTTAAGTTTACATTCTACAGATATAAATTAGAGAAATGATGGGATCTGGACTTCTAAAAAAATACTCAAATTATTATCATTATCATTGTAATACAGAATTAATAGCATTGTCAGTAGTAATCATAATGACTATTATTATTCATACTCTATACCCTCCATATACTAGGAATATGTGCTTTCGGGTGTTACTTTATTTAATCCTTTTGATGAATTTATGAAAGAGATGTTCTATTATTATTCCAATTTTATAGATAAGGAAAATGACACACAGAAACGTCAAGTTTCTCACTCAAGATTTCACATGGAGCAAAACTAATCCTCTGTCCCAAATCTCTCTGACTCCAAACCATGTGTTTGTAAGTGCTACAATCTAACTTACCATCAGAATTTACTAATAACTCTACTCCTTCACCAGGAAACAGTCAGAGAAATGGGTAGTAATTTCATACCATTTCAAAAGAAAAAAACCACTAGGGGTACTTGCCTAGTAAGTTCCCCGCTGGGCTACAGCGAGGCCACAGTCAGTCCTCATACCTATCCCAGGGAACCTCACAGCAAGGAATACTTAGTTCAAGTGAAGGAGCTCATATGTCAAGTGCATCCCTATGCCTTTGAAATCTCAGGGAAGATTATTTTCTCTGTGAGATTTGAGTTTCTTTTTGTTTTACTCTTTTATTTCTTACAGACAAGTTGGGCTTTCACTTTACCTGATTCTTTATAAATAAAGGTGGCCTCATATTCTGGACTCTTCCTGTGAGCCCACCCCAAACCTCCTTTCTAGTCTCATCCTGCACAACCTGTCAGCACGGCACCAGCAGCAAAAGCCTCCTTGCCACTTCAGAAACATATCCTCGTGTCCACAGCACTGTGCCTGTCACTGCCCCAGAATGCCCCGGACCACCTTTTCTAACACTTCCATTAACCTCTAAGAAGAAAGGCTCTCTTCAGTCTACCGGTTAGTAACAGCGGTTTTAAGAAACCAGCAATGTTTTCTCTGCTAATCAACCAGGCAGCAACTCTAACTTTGCATTCCTAGACTTTCGAAAACATGATGGAAAATAAAGTATGTACAGCGTGTGTTTTTACCTAGTACACTCTGCATGCATTTTCCAATATAACCCTTACACACCTGTGCCAAGATTGTGGTTTCCAGACTACGGACTACTAGGAGTTCACAGATGTAAGCCCAGTAATCTTTTCCCCTCTATACTTTCAAAAGGAGAGAAAAGAACTGGTTATCCCCCCCTCAAATCTTTCTCAACACATTGCTTCTATGGCAGTACATCACATATTGTATCCTGTTCCATATTATGGCTAGTTATTCATAAATCTGTTTCCTCTGAGAGTTTCTAAACTCCTGATCTTTAGGTCCAACCTAGACCAGCACTGTCATTGACATGTAGCAGAGACTCAGTGAATGTCCATAAACACAGATGTCCGTTTTAGAAGCTATTCCCATCTGAACTTCCGAAGCCATTTTTCGAAACGTGTAACTCCTAGTTATCATCCCCAATTTTACTCAGGTACTTACCAATTGTGGCACCTTACGTTTTCTGTAGAGGTTGTTGTAGAGGGCTCTGAAACTTTTTCTAGTGTAGCTGCTGCGATAAGCTCCACCAATGAGGTATTCGATGACCAATCCAATGTCGATCAGTGTTATTCTGTAGCCTGAGAGAAGGGCATGCTGAAACAAAACCATGTAATGGACTGTAACTTTCAGTGCCTTTTTTTGGTCTGGTTTGCCATCTGTTAGAACATAACCCATAACCTTTGCCTCAAGTGCAAAGAGGCGGACTCACGCTTTTCAATCATCTTTACAAATTGGTTGATTAATATGACCAACTATTGATACAGTCTGCTTGTTCAGATGGAAAAACGAATTTGGCCTTAATGTGTTTTTAGTTTCACAGACATCAAATGTGTGCTTATATTTGCTCATTCAACTCTCTTTTTTTTCTCTCTCTCTCATGCATACACATACTTTATAATAAAATACACTTAAATATAGTATAAAAGATTGTTTTTAACGGGAAATTGTGGATCTACTATAGCAGAAGTCAAATCACTGGAGGATATCACCAAAATGTGCCATTTTGACATATTATTTTGAATAAAAGTTACTTAAGAGACAGCCTGTGCCAGAAAACACTCAGACTGACTCTGTCCCCTTGAAAGCAGGAAATAACTCTCCCTGTAAAAGGTACCCTCCCTGTGCCACAAGATAAAGAGACATCCTTTTCACCAGAGATGAGAAATTTAGAGTGGAGAAGGCTGAATAAACAACCTTGTTACTTTTTACTAATTTACTCCCCCTGCCAAATTCTGTTTAGAACTCCTTACTAACCGAAGCTCCCAAAGTTAACTTCTCTTTGTCCTGTCAATTCCTCACAGATGTATTGTCTTTTTGTCTGAAAAGTATAAAAACTGCCTGCCTTGGTCATTTCTTGAGGTCTCAATTTCCTTATTGGGTCTCTGTGGGCACACAATAAAACTTTGGGTGTGGTTTTTTTTTTCCTGCTAATCTGTCGCATGTAAAATTTAATTCTTAGTCCAGCTGGAAGAACCTTGGACTGAGGAAAATTTCTTCCTCCCCCTCAATATACTGAATGTAGGTGATCCAAAATCTTTCACCTCTCCATTGAAATGGCTATAGCCCTCTGCACTGTGTGGACTATATCACACACAACATGAGAATACGGAAGGAAGTAGAGCAAATAGAAATAAGGAACATGGAATGACAGAACAAAGTAAGATATCAAACCATGAAGCTACCGAAACACATGTAATGGTGAGCAGGAGGGCTAAGCAGCAGATTTCCACGTACATGGGTCTTGGTCTAAATGAAGATTACTTTGACCACTTAAAACCCACCTTACTACCTCTTCGTAACTGTTACTCTCAACTACCATTCATAGTACATTCTTTAAATTAAAGTATAATTGACAAACACTATCCTATTTGTTTCAGGTACATATCAAAGTGATTTCATATTTTTATACATTATGAAATGGTCCCCATGATAAGTCTAGTTATCACCTGTTGCCATAAAAAGTTAGTACCATACCGTTGACTATATTCCCTATGCTGTACATTACATCCCCAGGATGTATTTATTGTATAATCTCCTTCACCTATTGAGCCCACCATCCAACTCTGGCCCTCTCCAGGAATCAACAATTTGGTCTCTGAATCTGCGAGTCTGTTTCTGTTTGATTACTAGAGTCCACATCTAAGTGAAATCACACAGCATTTGTCTTTCTCTATCCAACTTATTTCAACATTTTTAAGGCACACATGGTGCTGAACAAGATCTTTGAAACAAACAGATTATGAACAACATTCACAAAGCTTTGAACAAGAAATAAGGCTTTATATACATATATATTTGCTTATTTATAAATAGATGCAATAAATGATATAAATATGTATTTACATATTTCACATATGAATGAATGTAAATAATTTCTTTTTCATATCCATAATTTACTTTTTGCAAGGAATACCAAAACTAATGTTCTTAGTTGCTCCTAGTTAAAAGCAGATTTAACTTATCCCATTCCTTTTTCTTTCACTTACTGTAATGGAATCAAAGTTCAAGGAAATAATCTACGAGAATTATTTTGATCCAGCACAAATCACGCAAACTAAATTTATATCACCACGGACTCTTTTCCTTACGTCTAACTTTGCCAACGACACGTCTTCCTCCGCCAAGGCTCTCCCACCACGTCAACATAGCCAGAAAGCCTGGACACTCTCCATCAAGAAAACCAGACTCCAGAGAAATGAGGGAAGTACTTTTAAAGTGTGCCAGGGATGGATTTTAATCATGGGGGCAAAAAAAAAGAGTCTCTCCTAATTGTCTGCAGATGTGAATAAAAGTTCTTGGTGATTAAAAGAGAAGGAATTAAGGCACAAAAGTCTGTTAAAGTGGGAAGGTTTGGGGGCTCCTGGGTGGCTCAGTCAGTTAAGCATCCAACTTTGGCTCAGGTCATGATCTTGCGTTCATGAGTTTGGTCCTGCCTGGGCTCTGTGCTGACAGCTCGGAGGCTGGAGCCTGCTTCGGATTCTGTGTCTCCCTCTCTCTCTGCCCCTCCCCTGCTTGTACTCTGTCTCTCTCTCTCTGTCTTTCAAAAATAAATAAAACATTAAAAAACAAAAAAAGTTGGGAAGGTTTGGTAACTAACAGATGATTTTATTTGAAGTCTGACCTAACTCAGGGTTCAATGCGAACACTATAAGCAGAATATGAGCAAGGGTATAGAGCAGTGTGATTCCTCCTGGCTCCCTAGAACAATGTGTAGGCTTAAAAAAAAAGATAGGGACCCCAAGCTATCGCTTATAGTCAAAAACAATAACAAAACAATGCAAAGCACATATTAGTCCTCCGATAAAGACAACCGGACAAGGACAAAATTTCTTTATTTTCAGCAAATATTATCATCATTGGCAATACTGCTGTATCATGTTGAGCTAATGTTCTGATTGAAAGTTTTATATGTCTCCGGTTCATATTTTATCAGAGAAAATAATTATTAGTTAGTGCCACTTACTTGGTAGATCAAATCCTTAAAAACATAAAATAAATTATAAGGAAAAAAAACCTTCCGAGTATTGTTTGGTGATGAAATTATTCAGAGGCGGAGGCAAAGAGGGTAGGTAATTCACTAGAAAAATCCAAATGTACATTTTACAGGGCAAAATCTGGCAATACCTCAATCACAAAGCTAAGGCAATACACAAAGAAATCTGTCCGCATTCGTAATTAGGTTACCTGCTTTACATCTCGGACGAGATGATGCAAGAGCATATTGGTGGGTCCTTGTTTCTGTCATAAAGAAGAAAAGAAAAAAATGATTCCTTTTAATTACCACGTGCAAGGGGAAAAAATATTTTATTTCAGAATGTACAAATAACCCAGAATACTGACAATTTTCTTCAACCTCTTTAGTAATGAAGCTCACCCCAATTAATTATTAGAAAGGTATTCCCTAAGAGAAGACATAATTAGATTGAAATACTTTTCAAAGCAAGATGTATGTTTTTTAAATTTTTTTAATGTTTGTTTATTTTGAGAGAGAGAGAGAGAAAGAGACAGAGACAGAGTGTGAGCAGGGAAGGGGCAGAGACAGAGGGAGACACAGAATCTGAAGCAGGCTGCAGGCTCTGAGCGGTCAGCACAGAGCCCGACGCGGGGCTCCAACCCACTAACCGTTGAGACCGTGACCTGAACTGAAGTCAGGGGCTTCACAGACTGGGCCACCCAGGTGCCCCCAAGATGTATTTTATTTTTTTTT